GTTATTGGTTTTCGTCGTTATCCAACTTTAGCTGCTATTCACATCGATACACCATTCAGTTTGATCTGTGCTTCTTTGTATACATGGCTAGATTTCAGCATCACTATTGTAGATACTGGTTTTTGTCGTAATGATTTTTATTCAACGGATAAAAATTATAACAGTACGAGCAATACTTCAACTATCAGATATTTGAAATATTATGGTACGGGATCGAAATTATTGTTCTTTCAGCTTCTTATGGACATTCCTCGTTATCTGTTTTTGTCCTATATTACTGTCAAATTATTTACACTACTTATCAAACGAATTCGATACAGAAAAATCGTAGATAAACGATTGTCACGCGAACAACAGAATCTTCTTTCTTCTTCACTACCAAATTCAGTTGAATCATGTTATGTGAAAAATCTGTTGGAAATGAATAGTACAAATAAGTCTACGAATTGCTTTGCAAAGACTTTTGGATTTATCTATACATGGCGCGATGATTTTCGATTTTCATCACGTGTAATCTCTGTTTATGCAGCAATTTCATTGTTACTTTTCTTTATTACTGTACAAGTAAGTAATGTGCAATAAAATTTTCTCACGATCTGAATATATTTTGTTCTATTCTCCTAAATTAATCATCAGGCATTGGTCCGAATTCCTCCAAGACTCGTCGAACTTCGTCCACATATTCAAACGGGAGTTGATGTACTTGTCGCAATATATTTAAGAATTGATCCAAATTTACAAACTGACAAAGATCAATCCTCGAATTTTCGTCTACCTAACTTTGATCGACCGTACATTTTTGCAATTATATTCACTCTACTTGTAATCATCATACACTTGCTCATTATGTTGGCATCTATTCGTCGAAATCTTCTACAAGCATTTGGTGGTGATCATTCTGAAATTCCAGTACCCAAATTCTCAGAAAATGCTACCTATGTGACAGGAAATTTTCGTTTTGCTGGTACACTCATTGGTTATGTGATCTTAGGATATGTCTTTTTAAGTTTCTTTTCTTTTATCTTTGCCATTATAATCGGATCATTTCTCACATATGGAATCTCAAGATTCCCAGAGGATATTCTCAAAACAATTATTCCTCTTTTATTGTTAATTTTTTTCAAGACGTATTTGAATAACATTCTGAGTCGATATGTATTTTTACAACATAAAATCAATATTTTATCACTTAACAATCGACGTGTATTTATGATTTTCTTATATTTCAATATTTTTCTCGATGCTTTTCTTGGTTTATTGGCTGCATTTATTCGTTTACTCAAAAGTACTATTGGTGGAATTGTATACATGTGTCGACTTGATTATTCACCACTTGGTCGAAAACTGGAAACCAGTGATTCAGGTTTTAGTGCCTATTGTGGATTTATTCATGTAGAATGTGCTCATCGCCATCCTGTGCTTTTGTGTTTTATCAGTCATCTTCTTCGAGATCATCTTTACAAACAATCATTCAAACATTGGTCGAAAGCACGACGTAAATGGGCATTGGCAATTTTTCTTGTGAATAATCCCAAACTAGTTAATCGACGAAAACAATTTCTGAATCGATCAACAAAAAATGAAGTGAAAATTACTTTGATTGAAAGAAAAAATGGGAATAAAACAGATATAACATCATTATCCACCGTAAGTCATCGATCAAGTATTGGTCTTCAGTTAGCACTGGATGATTTATCGGTGCGAGAACAATTCTAATGCTTGATTTTGTACTATTTGAATTTTAAACAAAATATTGTAATAAAAAGTAACAACAAGATTGTATTTGATGTCTGTTATTCTTATCTAAGTTATGACCTCTTCAACTGAATGTAATTATTATTACATCCGATTCTCATTGTCTATTTTTGAAATATTTATTGATGTTAAAAGAGTTATTACCATCAAAACTCGAAATTCATCATAATATCTCATGTCGTCGTATTGGTGTCTTGAGTATATGGAAAACGTATCGTTTTTCGTTCGTGTTGGTGATCTATGCCAGTTGTTTCATGCTCGTACACTGAATGAGACAATGTTTTTTGACAAATGGACAAGAGATCTTTGAAAGTAATTTAATGCCTTAGTATAGTTACCTATACGTTCGTTTTATAACCATTTGAGATTATTATATATGATGTAGCAATATCAGGATGATCATGACATAATGTAGCCAGTCGAATATTCAAACATCTATTATAATATTCGAAAGCCATTTGCACTTCATACATAGTACTATATGTAATAACGAAACGATTGTAAGTGGCTAGGAGATCTTGATGTTCTGCTGGTACTCTAGTAAATTAAAATCATACCACTATACAATCTACCTTTTTTCTTGACAAATATCGGAACGAACTTCATCTCTCAATGATAGAGCTGTTTGAGTATTATTCAAAGTTTCATCATACTCATTTAACCAACGATCTGTCCATCCAAAACCACTATATCCGATTCGTTCATCTATTTGGACTTCGTAAATCATTCGTTTGTAACATTTACTAAAAGCTTTTGTCTTTTTACGTAGATATCAATATCAATTTCTTCATGCAATTCAATGAAATCAAGAAAACTAAGACCAGTTGAAAAAAATGAATTCATCTATACTCGATTTTATCAATTTTAATTCTTTGACATGAATGGCTTACTCATGATAAACTCGAATAATACCACGTGTAGGCATCTCACGTAGACAAATAGTCATATTCATTATTCAATTGTTTCAATAGATCAGTAATGAAGAATCGAAGTATAAAAAGCATATCGAAATCTTGAATACGTAATACTTTGTTCAAAAATACAGTTGAAATAACATTTACGTGTATACCACCAGATGGCATTTTCTGATTTGTAGGTCGCTTCAGATTCATTAATAAATCGAAAGTTCTTGAGGATTTCCTCGATAGTGTTCGACTTTCCAAGGATTGTGTACTACCGCAATATTTGCTAATTCTTCGATTTTGATTCGAGTGACTTGACCTTGGGCAATGAGCTTTGATCGGTTAATAATAGCATGAAATTCAAACTGCTGTATATGAAGTCCAACGCAATTAGTTCTTAAAAGAAAATTCTTTTTTCAAATTGTTCTTTTTTATCGTTCTATTCGGAGCAATCGAATCATTAGTGTGAGTTTGTAGTAAATATTTCTAATATCCATAGCTTGAATCTCTATCTATTGTTTTTACTTGACTTTAATCATCATATATTGCAGAAAAAAATTGGACAAAAAAACACAATTGTATCCCTATTTAGACATTTTCACGCAGAATACATGTTTTATTCGAAATCTTGAGGGTGTGAGTGTGTCTTGCTCAAGTCTTCAACCACGCCCACATCGACACATCGACACCTCACCCACACACCCACATCTGCACCGATATCCACACCCTTAAACGAACTATTTTCGTTCTTTCACAATAGCTTGACGATTTTTATGTCTTCACACTGTAAAGCGATTGAGTGCTGCCATTCAAGTCTATTTATCTGCTTAATAGACACATTTTTTAGTAGTTAAATTATAGACGAAAAACATGAATCAAGTTCATTATGCGTCTTCATCTCGGCGCTGCAAGCGAACAATAATCTTTTTAGGGAAAATAACAAAAGTTTCTGTAAGTTCGTTGATCGAATTATGTGTTTGTTCACCACAATCGACAATTGAATAGATTTTAAGAAGGCGAACAAGTAATTCTTTGATTTCCAACAATGCAAATCGCATTCCCACACAATTTCGCGGTCCAGCACCAAATGGAACCCAGGCTAATGGATGTCGTTTCGTAGCAAATCGTTCTGGATAGAATATGTGTGGATCGACTGGACCCCAAAGATCCGAATTAAAATGTAAATCATAAATACTGCCAGTGGTAATGGTACCAACTGGAATAGTTCCAACGTTTTCAATGTGAAACTCTTCACTATTCTGTCGATTGATAATGTTCTGTACGATTGGATACATACGAAGAGTTTCTCGAATGAACATATCCAAATAGTCCATTTCAGTAATCGATTCGTAGCTCGGTATGTCCTGTTCGGTATTCGACTCAAAATGAGCATCGATATGTTCTTGTAATTTTCGTTGTTCATTTGGATGAGTAGCCAGAACATAAGCAATATAGCTCAGCGCCGTACTCGTCGTTTCATAGCCAGCAATCACTAAAAAATAGATGAAATTAACGAAAAGAAAAGGTCGAAAAAGCAATAAAAGGGAATTACTGAAGAGAGCAATATTTGCAACAATTTCATGTTTGATTAGTTTCCGAACAAGTGGTGTCTCAGTGGTCGTTTCAGTATTGGCAACGGCTGACGTTGGTTGGTCCTTTTGAAGTCAAGAACAGAACATTATATTAGATTGAATAATTATTTTTCATTTAAAAAGTGTTTTTGTCGCTAGGAATTGAATTTGACTGGATACAAGTTTCTCGTTCATCATAGATCTATAAAACAACAGAATGTTGATTCTGAACCGATGTGGCAAGTTAGACGAACAATTATTCAGTTCTAGCAAAAACTTGAGTAGAAATAAAATTGAAAATTAGAAAATTCTCTTTGAATATAGAGCGCATACGGAGTTTTCAATTTCATAAACTATCATAATTGTGGACAAAGAAAGATCGGTGCTCATATCTTTCTCCATCTCATTGCTAGTATATGTTTATTTGTTCACCTTGGAATGGTTGGAGTAAACAAATAGTTGAGATATACGTTTTTCTGATTAGTTCTCTGTGTTTTCATAATGAAATGCTTACTGCAGAAAGGAATGACATGAAAATCGATTATAGTGAACAACGTATAAGGACAACCTGAGAACTAGAAAACTATTTTTGTTAATCTCAACAAGATTTCCAAAAGCTATCGTCCTCCTTCGAACAATGTTTGATAATGACGATACTGAATCATAAAAGAAAATAACTTCATACTTGAATGAAATCATCGTCCGAGGCTGATTCGAGCATCAATTGCAATAGATCCATTCGTTTTGTATAGCCTAATTTGACACGTTTCTTGACCAAGTGTTCAGCTTGTTTCTCGATCCACATCAAGGGTTCATCACTGATAAATCGTCGTGTTATAGGTAGATAGTTAGTTAACCAATATCGAATAGAACTATCACATTGATGAAGTCCATTCCAGAGCCATTTGAGTTCAGGAACGAAAAGAAATAAAATGAGGAGAGGCGTAATATTACTCTCTTCGGCTGCGACTCGTTGTGATTGAACCAAATGCGGATCATTCGGATTATTCTGCATGTCAGTATCTAGACCGAATCCACATGACCAAATTGTATCCATTGTAAAACATTTAAAAAGAGTATAGATATCAAATGGTTGATCGCATCGATGTTGTTCAGCTAATTTTGTCATGAAAGAATCAATATTTCTATTGATTAACGGAGACATTTGTTTGAGTTTCAATGATGAAAATGTTGGATTAATGACAAATCGTTGTCGTTTCCAACGAAGGCCGCTGGCTGTGAATAGAGCAACAGTTTTTGCGTGAGGATCTGCGAATGGAAATTCGCGACGCGAATAAAAACTAGAGAATGATTTGATGAATACATCTTGTAAAATGTCTGGATCCGAGATGACAAGAATGGGT